AAATACTGATTTCTTCCTTAAAGTAATGCTGTGAAGATAAAATTAGATAATTCTGTGGAGTCATATTCTGGATATATTTCTTTTTCTTATGTGATTTCAAGTACAAGTACTTGGCGGAGTTGCTGTGGGGAAGGATTTTAAATAGTTTGGGTGATTGCTATGGACTGAATGTTTGTCTCCTTCCCAAATCCATATGTTGAAGTCTTAATCCCCAATGTGATTATATTTGGAGGTGGGGGACTTTGGGATGTAATTAGGTTTGGATGAGATCATGGGGGTGGAGCCCCCATAGTGGAATTGAAGGCCTTATAAGGGGATAAAGAGTCCTGAGTCCTCTCTCTTCATCACGTGGAAACCAGGAAGAAGGCTGGAACTAGAACCTGACCATGCCATCACCCTGATCTCAGACTTCTCAGTCTCCAGAACTGTGAGAAATAAATGTTCGTTGCTCAAGCCACCCAGCCTATGGTATTCTTGTTATAGCAGCCCGAGCTGACTAAGACAGTGATGTTACCTAACATCCACTCAGTGAGCAAATGTCCTAGAGCAAGCACAAAATATTGCTGTTGCCTGGGATTAACCCAGTTTCCACTTGCCTTGCACATTTTGAGCATCTAACAGCACAGTATTACTCTAGAGTTAAAAAAAAAATATTTTTCCTAATGTGACCCTTAAATGAAAGCCAATCACTTCATTACCTGCCCAACTCAAGAAACAGCAATCTGTTTCCATGATAAACAACAACAACAACAAAAAAACTGGTTGTTTTGGCCTTACTAGGAGATTCAATGACTGATTTTGGAGAGACAACAGTGAGCAGCAGCTGGGAGCTAGACCGGGATCGAATCCTGGTCACGGCAGTGAGAGCACCAAATCTCAACCACTAGACCAGTAGGGCCAGCAGACAAAGTCTGGGTCCCAGTTCTTGTCTGCCTTGAAAAAATGTTTTTTGACAAGGAGACAGTAGGTAAAGAGGAAAGTTGGGTGTTTATTAGAAAAGCAGAGGACATGCCAACAGATGCATGGGCGAGCTGAAAGAGAAGTAGCACCTTTGAGAAGTTTAAATCATTTATAAGAGGGCAGTCTTCTGGGCTTTTGTTTTCCTCTGACCAATCGTCTTGCTTTGACCCCATGGGTGATTTGCCTCAGGGCCCTCACTTATGTGTGTGCACATCCTTTAGCCAAGATGGATTTCAGTGCAAGGGCCTTTGAGGGAGTTACCACAACTTATTATGGTCTGGCGTCCCCTCCCTTTTGACCCCCCAAGGAGCCTTTCTGTGCACGTGCAGTCGAGGTCTCCCTGACCCCAAGCATGAGAAATATGTGACCTCTTGGTCTTTTACCAAAGCAGTGCTTAGCCCATCTCTGCCCCTGCCATTACTGTTATCTTAAAGTGTCCACAGGAGACCAAGTTCAGCTATTTACCCTGTCCCTGTTGTATTTCTATCTTGAAGTATAAACAGGAGACTGGCTGTAAATGTTTAACCTGGGGCCCATCTATCCCCTGCCTCAAGGAATATGAACAGGAGGCTAGTTGTAAATGTCTGGCCTGGAGCCCATCTATCTCCTGCCTCATAACTATCTATAAAGTAATAACATATGAGATTTCTTTTTGCCTTTCCTGGGGAATCAGGTAGGATTCATGTTGTAAGGAACAGAAAAAACAACTCAAACTCCTTAAGCAATAAGAAAATTGGTTCCTACTCCTAGATTAGGGGTAACTCAGGACTCAAACAATATTCCTGAGACACAGGTCTTTCTCATCATTTCATAGCTCTGCATTTTCAGTGTTGGGCAGGTTCATATGAAAGTCCTTCCTTCTTCGTCCTCAAAAGGCTCTTGATGCTACAAAAATAGGAATTCAAATTTCCTCATGGCTCAGGTCAAAGCTCAGGAATTGTGTCCTGGTTGTTTTTGTGTGGGTCATATGACATCCCTGAATCAATAACTGTAGCCAAGGGGATGGAATTCACTAATTAGTTTAATTCAATCAGGACCCACTTTGGAGCTGTGATGAGACCAGTCCCATCCAAATTCCACATGGCTGGAAAATGAGGGATTACAATAGAAAGGCAACTTGATTCAGTTTTGGTGGGCTGTATGTTTCTAGAAAAAAAAAAATATATATATATATAACTGAATCACTTTGCTGTACAGCAGAAATTAACACAACATTGTAAATCAACTATACTTCAAGAAATAAATTTAAAAAAAAGAAAGGCAACTTGATGCTGGGTAAAAGTCTAACAAATAATCACCATGTGTGCTGACTTTATAATCAAATCCTCACATAAAATGTGATTCCATAGGAACCATGTAAAAATACCTCTCCTTGTGCTGGGCACACACATATTAATGTCTCATCTGCTCTCTTGTCTTTACTGTAATTGGATTTCTTATCTTATGTTAGGTCCAGAAGAGGATACAAATAAAGTTTGGAGGTTCTGCCAGAAATTAAAATAGAACTACCACGGAAGTCCCTGGTGGTCCAGTGGTTTGGACTATGTGCTTCCACTGCAGGGGACACGGGTTTGATCCCTGGTCGGGGAACTAAGATCTTGCACGTAATGTAGCCAAAAAAAAAAGCAAAACTACCATATCATCCAGCAATTCACTTTTGGGTATTTATCAAAAAAAAAAAAAGCAGTAACTCAAAAAGATATATGCACCCCCCCATATTCATTGCAGCATTATTTACAACAGCCAAGATAAGGAAACAGTCTGTGTCCATCCATGGATGAATGGATTAAAAAAATGGATAAAGATATATGTATATATATATATATATATATATATATATATACACACACACATAGATATATAATGGATTATTATTCAGCCATGAAAAAGAACGAAATCTTTGCCATTTGCAACAACATGGATAGACCTCTAGGGCATTATGCTAAGTGAAGTAAGTCAGACAGAGAAAGACAAATACTATATGATATCTCTTCTATGTGGAAACTAAAACAAAACAAAACAACAAGATCATAGGTACAGAGAATAGATTAGTGATTGCCAGAGGCAGGGGGTGGAAGGTGGGAGAAATGGATGAAGGAAGTCAAAAGGTGAAAAGAAAAAAATGCAGTTGAAGTAAAACAGACACAGAAATTTTGAATCGTATTCAAAATACCGACTCTCTCTCTATATATATGTTTACATTTTAAAAGTATAAAAAAAAATCTGCCCTCAAGGATCGGTCTTCATAAAAAAAAAAAAGAACAATTTGTGAGAGTATTAAATTATGTGCTAAACTGAGTAGTACCGATATTGAATCATTTTAAATTTCTGGCTTTGCAGTGCATTATGAATAAAATATTCTATCTCACTGCCTTACATTTTATAAAAATGTTTTTGAAACATGGTGGGTTTCACAGTGCAATTCCAAAATCAGATTGAGGATGCTATTTTATAACAGCACAAATTTTAGAGATAAGCAGATCTGAGGTTGAGTTTATTCATTTAACCTTCCTGAGATTATTATAATAGAGGTTATAAATATCTACTTGCGGAATATCGGGAGGATTAAATGAGGAGATGCACCTAGCACATACCAAACACAAAACAAATAATAAATAACCATTATTGTTATTACTGTAATTTGTGCCTGGCAGTCTGATTTGGCATTCAAACAGTCTCTTCCATAGAGGCAATAAGGACCATATAATAGTTTGACATTTTGTGATGAGCCAAAGATGTTTTGGTACACACACACATATAAACACACAGTGCTTCTCTGCAGAGTTGGTCACAGAACAGCTCATGGATGGAGATGCTGAGAGTTGCGGTCTGCAAAGTCAACACTCAAGCACAGGAAGGAATGTTGCCCACCCTATGGCATTCTGCTTCGTCCTGCTCTCGTCCACACACATAATTTGCATAAGTAGGTGGTATCAAGCCCTTAATCAAGCGTGACTCATTTCCTTCCCAATATATGAATCAAAAAAGAATAGAACATGACCAGACCCCCAGGCATTAGCCGGGTTACGCCATTCTTCCAAGAAGTTAAAGAAATACACATTAAACATTCAAGTGGCTTGTCGAGAAGGAATTTTCTGTTTAATGGAGCCATTCTGTCATTCTTTCTGAAACTGTCATGCAACTGCTGATAGAAATTCAGAAGAATTTTAGCCATTGAAGCAAAACAAGTCAATCACAAGGGAAGAACCAAATGTCACAAAAGGTCTCCTTCCTTCTGAAGGGTCTTCAACTCAGCTATTCAAAAATGTGGTTCACTCTCTCAGCAGTATCCTCTCCTAGTTTTTCTGTGTTTGGGTGTGATTTCTGTCTTTGCTAGCAAGCCAGAAATAGCCTCTTCCCTCCAACATGTGCATGTGTTTGTGGGGATGGAAAGAGAAAGGAGGAGAGAAGTAAAAAGCAAATGGAGGCAAACGTGGGGCAGGCATCTCCCACGAGTCCCCGGCTTGCAAGGGTACACGGGCCCACTCAAGCCTGAGCTCTCCACGCTGGTCTCCCCCCTTCCTCTGGCCGCCGGCCTCATGAGTCATGACCAGAAGAATCTCCACCCTTCTCTGTAGGCGAGTAGGAGACTGTCTGGGCTAGAATCAAACAGACAGTCAACTGCTGCAGTGAACAACCTCTACTGTAAATTCTTGTGTGCTCGTTACCTCCAGAACAGCTCTTGATATTTTATCAATTTATTCACTGAGGGAGGAGAAGTATCATCAAGAAAACACATGGGATCTTGACAAATTTCTTCCTTCACTGCCTGCCTGGGCTGAAAGTGCCATCTTTTGAAAGTGTTTACATTTTTTTTTAGTACATGAAAACGCTCATCTGCACCTTCCCCTGGGGACTTTTCCTCATCTCCCTTCTGTTTTAAGTTTGATTTCTTCTTCTAGAGTTTGGTATAATTCATGGAACTGTGTTTACAAAGGTGAGTTTCTTTCAAGTCAGCCACAGCTCACTAGTCCAGGGGCCAACTTGAACATGGGTAAGGGAGTCTATGGGTGTCCCTAGGAGAGAAGGCAAGAACTTACCCACAACTGAAGGAGAGATGTCCCTGAGATAACGTACTCCCCATCGCTGATGTCTGTATCAGCTGCTGACTTAGAATTAGATTCCACTCTGTGTTCACACTTATGGAGGTGGAGAAAGGGATTGGGCAGCCAAGAGTTATTTGAATGATTCAGCTACAGCCACCAAACTGTGCTAGGTGGTTACCAAGCAACAGTCTCAAAAGCCTCCTGGCAGCTCTCGTTAGGATCTCTCTTCCCTTTGCAGTCAACCCTCGTTTGCTTAGCCTGTACTTTCTGCCTATAATGTCTGTCCCCTTCTGCTCTTGCTGAATTTTCTATTTACTCTTCATGACTTTCCAAGTGCCATCTCCTCTCTGAAGCCCTTCACTGCTCTGACATTCTCCATGGGAGAAAGAACAGTGGAGTGGAAATTAATCTAATTGACTCAGATCATCTTTCGGAGCCACACAAGCACACAAGTTAGAGGTCTCTAGCCTCCCCCCACTTTGGTGTATATGTCCACTATTTTTCTCCACTGGGATAAGGTTAAGATTATGGTATCAACATGGAATAAAACATGGGCATTTAGGCAATCGGGTCTGTTTTATAAAGGATGAAATATATCTCGTAGAAAAGGCAATATAAAATCTCTTCTCCCTAAGAGCTCTCAAGCCTGTGCTCTATTCCCAGGGCCAAGTTGCCTCCTGACTGGCAAATAAGAAAAATATACCTCAAATCAAGGAATTTTATAGAGAAGTATGTGACAAAATATATGACTAAAAATAAACAAATCAATAAATGCAACTAATGGAAAGTGAGGGCTTGTCTATATCCTATCACTTCTAATGAAAAATGTTTCCATTTGAGTTTCACTTTTCAGGGAGGTTTAATATACATTTCCTCATTTTTAGTGGGCAATAACATGATCTCTGGAGTCCAAAGGACTAGGTTTTAGTCCCACTTCTGCTATTATTTACTATAAAGATTTGGCAGAACTATTTTATCATTTTAAACTTCCTTTATCAGTAAAATGGAAATATGAATACTAGTTAACATTTATTACGCATTACTATGCACTAAGCATTGTGCTATATAAGCTTTACATATGCTACCTCATTTAATACTTGTAAGTACCATGTGGTTAGCCCCGGTTTATAGATAGGGAAGATCATAATAATAATTGAATTTATCACAAACATTGATTGAAGGGCCCTTTATACTTGAGGTAGATACTATTATTATCATTTATTAACAGATTAGGCACAGAGGTACTAAGGATAATTGCCTGCTCAAGTTCATACAGCTTTTAAGTACAGAGTTCAATTCCAACACCAGTCTCTCTCTAAAGCTTGTGCTTTTAACCAGAATGCACCACTGACCTAAAAGTTTCTGCTGCTGAGCTGCCTCATGCGTTTCTTGGGAGGAACCAATAAGACTTTAAAAATGAAAGGGTTTGAATGCTGCAAATCTCTATAACAGCAATGGGAAATGCATGGCTTCTGTGTCACCAATCTCTACCAATATCTCCCTCTGTCCACTAAAGAAATTGTTAATTGCAGGTGTCATCAAGCTATGGCCCTGCAGTGAGCCAAATTCTGCCTCCTGTTTATATAAATAGTTTCATTGGAACAGAGTCACGCCCATTTCTCTACGTATTGCCTTGACTGCTTTTGGGCTGCAGTGGCAGAGTTGAATTGTTGCAACACAGATCGTATGGCCTTCAAAGCCTAAAATATTTACTATTTGACCCTGTACAAAACAAATTGGCCAACCCCTGGATTAGAGTATACATACATAGTTTCAGAATCATTATCAACAAATTGCTCCTGGCACCCCCTAAGATTGATTGAAATTGGACAAATAAAACTGTTAGGTATTCCTATAATTTAAAATATCATTTATCATTACTACTAAATCAAACTGAATCATTTATAAATCAATGGACTTAAGTAAGGTCACATTTGGGAAGTCAGGTTTCTTGTTGCTTGGGCTTCTTAAACTTGGGGTGGAAAGCTCTCTTCTCTAACCATGGAAATCGATTAAAGCATATTTCTGACCCAGGGTTAGGTACGGGTCAGAGTAGGGATTACTGAGTGACCCACATATTCATTCCATTATTTCTGGTGATCCTTCTGTATGTGGCCTCTGCAGACTTCAATATCACACTATGACTAACTCTGCCACCTAGATGAACCAAGTCTGATTCACCAAATATCTAAAATAAAAGGAAAAATGCAGATGAGAAAGGAGCTACCTGAAAACCTTCAAGGGAAAGCAGTGTAGAGAGAATGAAGGGGGTGGGGTTGGGTATGTTGCCCATTCTGGTACATTCAGAAATTCTATTTCATGTCAACGTCAAATCTCATTATCTTTTTCCCAAAGGCCAGGCACAAAAATGACCACAGCACACCTATCTTAACCTTGGGAGGGACAATATTTAAAGTGCATGACGTCAGCCACATACAGAGTGAGCCGAAGAGCAGCAATGAAGCCTATATACAGCAATGCCCAGTAGCTTATCTTAAGGAAATATTGTGCATGCAGATTTCCAAGACACCCACACCTCGGAGATAATGCCAGTGAGTTAATCAAATAGTTTTCTGCCTGAACAACTGTGATACCTAAAGCTGCTAGGAACGTCATTTTTAGACATCCGTGGGAGGGATTCTTTTTGTAATTCTGCATTTCTTTAACTCCCACCACATGTCTAGGCTTGCCTTCCAGAGACACACATTGCCACCTTTTCAGAGCATTTTTTATTTTCTTCCTTCCTTTTTTTTTTTTGGCTGTGGACTACTTAGTAGCCTTCCTAGGGCTGATTGCAGTAAATGCTAAAATAGCGAGCATAATTTCACTGGCACTACATGAACTGACCTGCATGCAAGTCCTGCTGGGGACCCTAGAATTGAGTCCGTCATTCCTCCTTTCCCTAAATCTGCTTTGTTCATACCTCCTCAGGCACCATTCCTCCCCTGAAGCATCCAATGAGAACAAAGCATCAGTTAAATCTGACACCTTTAATTGAATGTCTTTATAAAACAAATCCTAGGACAACGTTGGTGAACAGAGCGTAGAGCCAATGTCCTGAAAGATGATCTCTGAGGGGCGAGCAAGATTCATAAATAGAACATGCAAAAGAGTGGACTAAGTTCTGTGACAGGAGTGAACACAAGAGAAAATGGAATCACATACAGCGGAGGGAGTGTCGCGGAAGGCTTCCAAGAAGATATATTTAAGCTGAGGTAGGAAACATCAATGATATTTAGCCAAGAAAAGGTAGTGGAGAGACAACTGTTCCAGCCGCAATGAACAGCATGTACAAAAAGACCTGGAGGAGACAGAAAACATTTGGGAACTGCAGGAAGGCAGGTAGAATTAGTTAAATAATTAGGCACATAAGCTTGGTGGTCCAAAAGCTCTGAATGTAAATCTCAGTTCTGTGACTTTGGGCAAGTTTTTTAACCTTTATGTGCCTCAGTTTTCTCATCTGTAAAATGGCGGGGATAAAAATACCTGCCTTAGGACTTCCCTGGTGGCGCAGCGGTTGAGAGTCCGCCTGTCGATGCAGGGGACACAGGTTCGTGCCCCGGTCCGGGAAGATCCCGCATGCTGCGGAGCGGCTGGGCCTGTGAGCCATGGCCACTGAGCCTGCGCGTCCGGAGCCTGTGCTCCGCAACGGGAGAGGCCACAACAGTGAGAGGCCCGCGTACCGCAAAAACAAACAAACAAACAAAAAAACCTGCCTTATAGAGTTATGAGGATTAAACAAATAAAATGCAAGTGGCACATAATAAGAACTCAAAAACTGTCGGCTATTATTACATTTAACATTTTATTACCTTATTATAATTCATTATTTGTAGTATTATCATTGTTAATTCTTTTTAATATTAAAATGTTACTTTTTATTATTAAGCCTCAATAAAAGTCTCATCTGAAGAAAACTGAGAATAACAATACCTTACCTTCCTGGGTTTTTACAAAGATTAAAATTATCCCTGGGTTTAAGTAAAAAAAAAAAAAAATGGTGATATGTAACTCTGTTAAAAATGCTTTCACCTGCAAATAACGAAGACCTTCTGATAGAGTCAACTTAAAACAATAAAAATAAATATTAGGGGGCATTTTTCTCACACAAAAAGAAACCTGGATATGGGTTCCTGCTGGTGTTGGTTTTGTAGGTTGACAGGGTTTGGGCTGGCATATCTTCAATTCTCTTGAAATTTCTCTTTTCTTGTTGCTTCTGTCACAAATTGTGGCTTTGACTCCTGACATTAGATCCATATTCAAGGAAGAAAAACTGGGGAAGGGGTTATGTCAGGCACATGTCAGGTTATGTTCCCTTTGAATAGGGAAGTGAAACCTTTCCCAGAAACTTCCAGGAGACTTCTACCTACAACAAATTGACCAGAATAGCACCATGTGGCTACCTCTGGTTCAAGGGAGGCTGGAGAGTGAGCATTCATCTAGGGAAAATGCCACTCAACTCAGTTGGAGTTTGTCAGCAGGGAAGGAGAGAATGGATATTAAGCAGACAATCAACACTTTCTGCCATAGTATTATTTACTGACTCTTCCATGTGCCAAGCTCTGTGTTGAGTGCTTCATACGAATTATTTCATTTACTTCTCGCGTTTCATACAATGATGTATTTATTACTAGTACAAGTGTTGTTGTTTAACAGATAAGGAGACGGAGGCACAGACACAGAAAGAGACTTGGACACCATCATGCAACTACTAGGTAGTGAAGGTGGTGTCAAAGCCAGCCAGACTGACTACAGGCCATTAAGCAAAAAAGGAAAGAAAAGAAATTATTCATAGAGCCTCTCAAAATTGTACTCGCAACTATGAGCTTCTATCATGGTTGGAATATAACATGTAAGATGGCAAGATTTCGCCTTCGTCTGAATGTCCATCCCACAACTCTGGCACTCAGCTTTTTACCAGTACCTGTATTGAACACTGTGCCATCTCACACATTCTCCCTTCTATCATCACCCCTGCCCTTGTGCTTCTTGAGTTAGGGATCATATCCTAAACTTCTTTAAGTCCACCTCTCCATCAACAGCTTGTCCTCAGCAAACCCAAAAGAATGCTGCTGATCAAAATCA